CGGAATATTGTGATTCGCGCCAGAACATTATTATTGTCAGACCATTTTTTATAAAACATTAAAGAATTCATTAAGTGTATTGTAAGTTTTTCTTTTCAAGTTAAATATAGAAAGTAACATATAGTTCGAAAGTGTTCATTGTTTTTATTTGTGCACGGACCTCCAAGGAGATACGTAACATTTTTGGTAACAGCGGTGGGATAACGACAAATATCAGTATCCCGTTACCACGAGCAATAGCCGAACTAGACTTTCAACAATATATTAAAAGAAAAGGAAACGAACAAAAGCGTATCCATCCGAAACAGAACATTGTACACAAAGTTGCGTAAGGTAACACTAATAGTATAAGATATTATTATTTTATAATATTTTATATATTTTATATACATCTATATGGTGTGTATATATACATGCAAACGGTTGCGTGTGAACGTGTCTCTATAAACGCGCGATCAGCAAATTCCCGGCGTGGTGTAATACATACATACGCCGTCGAAGAAAAAAAAAAATTGATGACAGGCAGCCGCCGCGTGTGTGGGCCTGGCGTACGTGTTGCCACCGCCGTCGTGGTTGTGACGACATCCATGTTGAAAACAGACGACAACACAGCTGTTACGATAATACGATATCAGAGCCGCCGCACACAGCCCTCATTGTTTAGAAACACGATAGCGCCGCCGCGCCGTAACGAATTTATATCAAAATATAACGATATATTTACGTTATTTAATCATCAAAGCGAAACCCAATAATTAATTATTGGTCCCCGCGCCAGCAGTTTCGGGGCGTAGAACATCGTTCCGAAGTGGTTAAGGTGTCGAAGAGGAAATTCGACGTGTTATTGTTCCGTGATCAATTCGACGTCATATACCAGAGCATTCAGCACCAATCACAACGACCAGACGCAGACGAACACTGAACATTTCAATTCATTATCGTCGAACAATTGTGGTGGTCGTGAGTATTTAGCATTAAGTTTTCATGTCTCTTTATATTTAAATATTTTTTTTTTACAAACATAGGATAATAAATTATTATACACCATATATAAACATAAACCTATGGTAGGGAAAAAGTCTTTCTTTGTATACACATGTTTCTCAGTGTTTTATTATACCGAATTCTTTTTTTTTTCTTTTTTTTTTAAATATCTCTTTACGATTGGGAATAAACCTTTTATGAAACTCTTAGGCAAACTTTAATGAGCGCAAATTTGGGGGAGGATTCAACCACCAAGGGGGCTGACACGTCCGTTACTGATACCCCTACCCCTACACCAAGAGTAAGTTTACCTGTAAGGTGCTCCAATCCCGACAATCCAAATTCCGAGCGTCAAATACACGAACTTTCCGTCGACAATTTACTAATTAAGGAAGCGGATTTGACTGTAGCAACAAATGGTCTTTTAGCCGAAGTTAACGAAGAACTGAGGGAAATCGACAAAAGTTTAATTCACGTCGCCCTCGAAACCATTTCAACAGAAAATTCAGAAAATTTCCAAAACACAAAAATTCTACAGACCAATCAAGAAAAACTTTTGAACTGGTCTTCAAACGACACAGTTGAATCGACAAACCAAGGAATTAAGCTTCTCGTAAATCAAAAACCATTGGAAATAATGGGAGATAAAAATCAACCAACAGATAGTGGTGTACTAGGACCACAGTTGACCACAGACATTTCAAATAATCCAGATTTAAGCCAATTAATTGATCTAAAGATTCAGGAAATCATGAGGACAAGAGATAGCGCCAGTTCGAGACATGGAAATTTGATATCCAATAATCAAATAGGACTTCAGGATGCGATTAGGCTATTACCAAAGTCATTTGATGGAAAAGACACCGAAAATTTAGAGATTTTCCTTGAAAAATGCGAATTTGTTGTGTCATGTGTAGTGGAACCGGCAATTCCATGACTGCTTCAGGCAATCCAAACCAGGTTAACCGGGAAAGCGAGGCAGGTAACAAAGTTTAAAACATTCGACACATGGGAAGAATTAAGGGAAACACTTAAAACAAGTCTAGAACCCCAGCGAACCACACAACATCTATTTTTAGAATTGTACGTCATCAAACACAAAAATGGTGAAGATATTCTGACCTACTCCATGAGAGTAGAAGCTTTACAGAATCTTATCATTGAACAGGAAACTGCAGACTTTTCACCAGAAATTGCTCAAGCGATGGAAATTTCTATTAAGAGACAGGTAATTCAAGTCTTTATGGAAGGCTTGGGGAACCTAAAGGACTATATTAAGGCCAGAAACCCACCAACATTAGATAAGGCCATACAAGCCGCCCGAGAGGAAGAACGGATTAGGATGTCATCCGAAGAATCCAAGAAACTTTACAAAGGAAACGCGGTGGCAACGAAAAAACCAAATGGTTCTTGCAACATTTGCAATAAACCAGGACATTGGGCCCGCGATTGTAGATCCAACCGAGGTAACAACACAAATCAATCAAACAATTCCAGCACGCCACACGGAACCTCCAAAGCCACAGTGAACACCATCACGTGTCAGTACTATAAAAAACCGGGGCACACAAAAGATGTATGCTGGAAATTAAAATATATTACCGGAAAAAGGAATGAAGCAGCTCAAGCGGAGACTTCGGAAAACCAAAATCAACCGGGCGCTTCCGGCGGACGTCCGGTAGGGAGCATAAAAAGCGCCGCCATATCATTTCCAGAATCTTCTCATTAAAGTCAAATTTAACAGATAATACTTTTACATACAGAACCTCTCAGACAATTAACCCCAATGCTAAATTTTTACTGGATTCAGGAAGTGATCTCAATCTAATTAAAATTTGTTCACTTTTGGATCAGGTAATGGTATACGAAGATACCATTTACTATTTAAAGGGCATCAACGAACAGTTAGTCCCAACATTAGGTCGGGTGATAGTATTCAAATTGGCGAGCGTATGATGCAAGTAGAATTTCAATTAGTACATTCCAACTTTCCCATTACGCAAGATGGAATTTTAGGGAAACCCTTTATAATAGGGAACCATACGATTATTAATTATCAAACTAACGAATTAATAGTACCAGATACCGTTAACATGAAAATCCAAGCTCAAACAGAAACTTTGATCGCAATACCTATCACAGAATATCAAGAGGGTGAAACACTTTTAATCCCAGCTCAAAAGATTTCAGAGAATATCCTATGTAGCAATACGGTTAACCAAGTGCACCAGAATCAGATACTCATAGCGGTGATTAATCCCACGGAATCTTCAGTGGAACTTACCCAAGCACAAACGAAATCAATTACTATTTATAAGTTTGATGAAGTTAATGTTTATGCAACTCAGAACATACCAGAAAAGTCCAGCGGACAAGGCCGTTTAGAAACCCTAAGGGAAAAATTAAATTTGGATCATCTAAACCAAGAAAAAAGAGAATCTCTTATGCCAATATGTGAGGAATACTCAAATATCTTCCATCTAGATGGAGATAAACTATCTTGCACTGACCAGATTTATCATGAAATCAAAACAAATGAGGCCGCACAACCGATTAATGTACGCCCATATCGGTTGCCTTTTAAGCATATACAAGAAATTGACAGACAAATTCAGAAGCTTGAGGAGGATAACATTATTGCTCCGAGCAAAAGCCCTTGGAATGCGCCATTACTCGTACTTCCCAAGAAGCCTGATGAAAACGGTGTCGTGAAGTATCGCGTGTGCATGGACTTCAGAAGGTTAAACCAGAGATCAACAGGAGACGCGTATCCTCTACCGAACATTACAGAAATTCTGGACCAATTGGGAAAATCCAAGTACTACACTACGTTGGATTTGGCCCAAGGGTACCATCAAGTCAAAATGCACCCAGACCATTGCAATAAAACCGCCTTTTCTACGGACAAAGGTCATTTCGAATTTTTAAGAGTTCCATTCGGGTTGAAGGGAGCCCCAGCCACTTTCCAACGTCTAATGAATTCCGTATTAACGGGATTGAATGGGATCAAAGCATTTGTGTATTTGGACGATATCATTATTTATGCCCTCGACCTTGAAGATCATTCAAGGAAATTAAAAGAAGTTTTCGACAGATTACGAGAAGCAAACCTCAAACTCCAACCGTCAAAATATTCATTCATGCGAAAAGAAGTGAACTATTTAGGACATGTTATAACCGACAAAGGAGTAAGGCCTAACCCACAAAAGATTGATTGCGTAGTAAAATTTCCAACGCCAACAAATGCTAAGGAGATAAAATCATTTTTGGGTCTGTCAGGCTATTACCGACGTTTCGTTCCGAATTATGGACAAATTGCAAAACCACTCACGTCATTATTAAAGAAGGATGTTTCATTTTATTGGTCAGACCTTTGCCAAGAATCGTTTGACAAATTAAAAGCTATTCTCACCAAAGAACCTCTCCTACAATACCCTGATTTTGAACAACCATTCAATCTCACCTGTGACGCCAGCAATTTTGCAATTGGCTGCATATTATCTCAAGGACCAATTGGGAAAGATCTACCTATAGCATATGCATCGCGCACTCTAAACAAAGCAGAACAAAATTATAATACAACGGAGAAGGAACTTTGTGCAATAGTATGGGGAGTCAAACAATACCGACCGTATTTATATTATTTAAAATATATTCAAAATTATTACAGATCATCGAGCGTTAAGCAGGCTTTTCAACGTAAAGGACCCGGGGTCCCGATTAATCCGATGGAGGTTGAAACTGGAAGAATATGAGTATGAAATCCACTATAAGCCAGGTGTTAGTAACACCAACGCTGACGCATTGAGTCGAATCAGAACTGTCACGACTAGATCCAAAACCAAGTCAGAACCTCCAAGACTAGAAGATAGGGTAACGTCTACAAATGGTTCCGACAGAATAAAAATCGTAGATTCACCGGAAGTCTCAAACACTTCAGAACCTCTATGCAATCCAGAGCCTTCTGATGAATACCAATTTTTTTAAATACCGAAGCTAAACCTACTACCAATGTAATGGAGCTAACAGGTAATATTTTCGACTCAGAATCTACTACATCAATAGCACATTGCATTTCCGCTGATTTTAATATGTCTCGAGGTATCGCCCTTCAAATGAGACGGAAATTCGGGCAGGTGGACCAATTGCGGAAAGAACAAAAATCAGTTACTGATGTAGCCGTTATTCAGTCAGAACAACGAACAATATTTTATTTATTAACAAAAGAGCATCACTGGCAAAAGTCGACGTATCAAGCAATCTATAGTTGTTTACAGAAACTTAAAGAATTGTGTATGCAATTAAAAATAACCAGTCTAGCTTGTCCAAGGATTGGAAGTGAAGCAGATGGACTACAATGGGAAATCATCCGAAACAAGAAAAATGAATTTGTTCCAGGAAACTCATCATGGCATTCGCTGGAATTTTTAAGAAAAATCCGTCATTCTCGAAAATGGTAATCCTGATAATATGGATATGGGATAGTACATCAGAAGCTCAAGAGAATTATAACATTACTATCTTCCCGGATCACAAAGGATTCTATTATGAATCTCACGGAATGATCAAAACTTCTCACACTAAATGGAACTTGGTAACGTATGTGGACATTGGAATCTTGACCACAAAATATGATAAGTTGATGACCCAGTATAGCGAAATGGAGACAATTTGTAAGCAAATGATAGCAAACTTTGGTAATGCAGAAATAGAAAACATTTGTAATCAATTCGTAAACCAATTTTCTACTACAACCCATCCATATTTATATGAAATTCAGTTAAATCGTCGTAACGCATAACTCAAAAAATGAAATTCGAAATCGCCGAGGATTGGGAGGTACCTTCAAGCGCCTGATCAACGTTTTGTATGGTGCATACTCGAAAATCGACACCGAATTCATATTTAAACAGATCGTAGAATAAACCAAAAAAAAAATTCAGAATATTAATTTAGTCAAAGAAAAAACAAGAGTTGTACAAGCAGAAATATTGGATGCAAATCATACTTCACAGGAAGTCGCAGAACATCATCAGAAACTCGAAAATAACTTGCAGTATTTACAAAGACTGACCAAAGAAAGTATCGTTAAAATCAACAAATTAGAATTTAAAAATAAACTGTTAGAGCAAGCCTTTTTATTCGAGGTAACTCTCAATCAGTATGCTTACGAAACACAAAACCTTATTGCCATTATAGATGCAGCACTGGATGGCAAGATCCACACCAGCGTAATTACCCCCAGAAAATTAATACAGGAGTTAAAAGAAATTAAAATCAACTTACCCAAGGGAAACGACCTCCCGATAGAAGTAATACCTGAGTCCATGCCAAACCTTTTCAAAATCTCTGAAATAACGATTTTCGTGCAATACGAGTACTTAATATTTTCTATTGAAATACTATTGATTTCAAGTAAAGTATTAAATGTGTATCGAGTTGTTTCATTACCAATGATATATTCTACTAATACATTAATTTTAATTGAACCCGAAGTCGAATATTTGGTAATTAACAGTGATAATGAGGAATTTTTCACTATGACAGGGAAACAGTGGGAATCATGTGTAAATTTAGACACTTACAAATTATGTAAAGGTGGTCAAACATTTCACCGCCGCTCGAGATCGAACGTTTGCGAAGTAGCACTTCTAACATATCAACCAATCCCAGAAACTTGCAAAATAAAATTGGTAACATTAACAACGTCCATTTGGGATAAGTTATTGGATTCCAATGCATGGTTATTTTACACACAACCAACTTTAGTGACCATCAAATGTGCGGAACCTCCACAAATAGTAACATTTCAGATCTCAGCCGTAGGAAGGTTGACCACCTCCCAAGATTGTGAAATCCATACAGAAAATTCCATTATATATCCGACAAGTAGATCTAATAGAGGTATCTATACTGATTTAATTCCAGAAAGCAAAAAACAGGAATCAGTATTATCAGAGAGTCTTAAAAATATAATTCCCCCGAACCTAAAAGACATAAGTATCGTACACGATTTTAATTCTTTATCCAAAAGGTTAATAGAAATAAGTAAGTTACCAAAGGTAACAACAGAGTCTCTAATAATATTTCAAATGGAATTTCATATGGTACTTGTGTATATCTTAATGTTAACTGTAATATCCGTAGTTAGTGGATTAGCTATTGTTCATGCTGCTGGCGTCAGCATTTCTGTCATTATATCTACAACAGCGACAGCGTACAGCACGCACCATGGGCAACTCTTTTATCCCCGCTCTTCCCGTCTCTTCCTATTCATTACATATTCGATCCACTCCATACAAAAACGTATTTATAATGTCTTTGCTCAACCAATGTAAACACCGCCATATTGTTTTATATTTTTTTTGTTCTCTAGTTACACATTGTTGTTTAGATCTAGTCAGTTATATGAATCAGGTACCAGAACCGGATATAATAATTCAATATGTAGATCTGTGTATGAAAATAAGATATTAAAATATATAAATAAAAAAAAAATTATTAAAGAATAAGTAGAAATTTTTTTTAAATAAGGTAATTAATACCAGGTGATTCGGTTCCTAATAAACTAATAACTTACTATACTATAACTTAATATAGCATGGCAGAAAATTAACACTATATATTGTTTAACAACGATGATTAAATGAAGAAATAATATTATAGGTTATTAATTTCAATATCATTCGGAGAAGTAGAATCAGAAGAGGAGATAATAGGTAAACTTTTAGAAAGTAAATTTCAGGGTGGATTACAATCCGGTAACATTACAATAGAAATAAATGACGAGTTTTATTTGCCTAGTTTCGATTACATAAGTAACGGAGTCAAAACTATTCAAATAAAATGTCAAGCTTTTGAATTACGGCTTGAAATGCAAAATATAATGAATGAACCTAGGACATATTATACACAAAAATTGTGTGAAATTAATATAATCGGAAAGGAAAACGGAGGTGGTACAATACCTGGGGACGGGTTAGAAAAAAAAAATAAATATTTTTACGAAGGGTCAATTGCAACAACCTACAACACAAAAAATTAATGTTAATGAAATTTTAAGGCGGATGATTAAAAATAGACCAAGTACAACACCTAGTCCAGCAAAGATTCGTCAGCTTTTTGAACAATATCGTAAAGGGAAAAAACCGGAGATTATTGTAATTAAAAGTGGTAATTCAACCATAACAAGTAACGGAAATTCGGAAATAGAAAGAACAATTAGAATAAAATACAGCGTAATAATAGGGTTAATGATGTTGGTACTAATGGTAACAATAACCATATTAGGAATTATAGGATATAAGTGTAAATGTAGGAACAAATATGATAATTATGGTATAACGGAAACACAATTAGATTGTGATCCGGGGATAGATACTACGAAATTATAGTAACAATTATGGAAGGTATAAAGAATATTATTTTTTTTGTTATTAATATTAATTTTAGTAGTAGTTAAATAGTAAATAGTTATTACAGTAGTGTAGAGGAACTTGATATAGTTTCGAATAGTATTTTTTAGTTATATGGACAAGTTAAAAGGATTTAGTGACAGTGAGTAAATATGAAAAAATGAGTGATGGAATGCAATAGTTGATTTTTGGGGGGTTGACGGTGAAACACGGTGGGTGTCGCGACAATATTCTATAAGAACATGCGACCACCGGGCATCACTGTCGATATGACTATTAAGCAATTAGTACGTTCCAAATTCATAGTGACCAAATTCGAGAGACGAGTATAGGAAATATAAGTGTCATTCACAAATTCGAACTAATATATATGTATATATTATTTTAGGTTCTTTTTAATAACGGCAGGTCAAAGTCAACTTCCGTATAAAGTGGAAGAATTTAGAAACCAAACAATGATGTATTACGAAAATTACGGGACGGTAAGGTTAACAGGAGCTACATGGCAGTTAATCACGTATTTACCGTTGTTAAATTACGACAGTAGACACGATAAATTAAAAACGGAAATAAATATAATGACAAATATATGAAAAAATAATGCGACAGCATATGAAATGTCCTCGGGGTTAGACGATATGTTTAAAATAATGTTTCAAGAAATTTCATTACAACGTGAAAAAATGTATGAATCAATAGGTAGATACGCAGAACACTCGGGCGAAACGACCACATATCATAGGAAGAAAAGGCGTGGATGAGAGAACGCTGTTTAATATGGACATTATTGTTTTCGTAATACCTAGTACCTACATACTAATCGAACTATTTTTTATATTATCACTATTCACTACATACTATATTGAAAAATAATAACTAATAGCCGCCGGGACATCATATGTCCGCATATGATATTGCCATGTACTATTATATTGCAGTACTGACTACTGAGACTCAGTAGCTTGTTATTCGATTATAATATCTATTATATTCCTATCTATTTATATCTATATAATTTATTTATACAATATATAACAAATATTTTGAACTTGGTCAATTTTTAGGATAATGTTATTGTTATAATATTAACCATTTTAAACATAGTATACCTACCTATTTCCTTAGTCGTTTATCATTTCAATAATTCATAGCTATAGATATGTATAGAATATACCATGTACGATACCACCATGAGACATGTGTTTGAAATTAATAATGATATGTAGACTTCTTATTGTGTAGGTATGTAATAATTTATTAATTTGTTGTTTTTAATAATTTGTATAAATTGTATCTGGTTCATGTGGTTTTTTTTTATGTTATTTACTCGTAAAAAAAGGCGTATACTGATTTTATGTTTGCTCCCACATACACTGTCCTTTAATACGGCCCTGATGCCCCTAAAAAGTTTCAGTTCGAGCCTGGGCTTGACCGGCTCGCCCCGTGCGCATGTCTATGCCATCGACTATTCACACACAAAAACGCACACACCCATGCACACCAACCACTGCCTTACGCAGTACGTACATATTAATTAGTTAATTACATCTATTCGCTTCTCATACTAAGCAATTTTCATATACAGAACCCTTAAAATTTGAATGCTTGTCAACAATATCACTTCCGTTGCATATTGAATGCACGAGTGCGTGTGTCTAGTGAAAAGGATGTTATTAACAAAAACAATAATAAATTGTACAAAAATGAGTTAGTGAATAGTGAGTATGTAACGTTTTTATTAAAAAATAAATACAATTTTTCAAATTCTATTATGGATGTGAATGTGTTATTTAAACTTTACAATAAATCATGACTATCCACGCATCATCGGGTATGGCAGTGACTAAACGTCTAAATTATACCACTTTTAATTGTGTTGTGTAGAACTTATTAATTGGACCTAATTCGTATTCCACCAACTATAATTTTCGAGTAGGTAAGAAAAGTGATTTACACCAACAAATTTCAGAAATTGAAAATACGAATAATGATAAGTAGGACATGTTTTTACGTTTGTCACCTTTTCTGCCTTATTAATAATTACGTACCATTTGATTACTAAATATTAAAATTATAATTAAATATAATTTAGAAATCTCATATAATAATAATAATGATCATATTTATTTTTACAATATCGATTTTGTTTTTTTGGATAACTCGAACGCATGGATGTTGGCTGAAATTATTCGGTATTGAGTTTGTTTAGATAAGTAACTACCTAGAGGTATTTAATAATAATATTATGTATTTAGTTATTTTAATATTTTTAATAAGGTGAACAATATTGTATTTTCTTCCACACGTAAGATACGCACATTATGGCAGACGAAAAAAAGCTTGTGAGTTATATATTATTACTTTTTAGTTTAACGATAGGGTTTTCACTTAAAAGCGAGCAAACCGATATTAATATCTTGTTTTTAATAAATATTATAATAGATGAGCGACGACGGTCAGTCTGCAGAAGACGATAAGCTTCTTGGTGCGTATTTAGACTTTATGAATACCAAGACCGAGTTAACCAGTATCGAAAAATGTAGTTATAAAAATGACCACGGTACATCGTCAGACGATGCTGTCGACAGATTCGAAATATTCAACAGAGCTTTTACAAAAATCGAAAACTATGCGAATAGCAAGCCACTCTATAAGAGCATTAAGGTGGATATAAAGGAATTGTCGCCGATAAAATATCAACTGTTGGCTAAAGGCAGACAGAGGGCTCACGACAAAAATCTAAAACAGGAAATCTACTGGGACACAGCGAAGAAACGCGTCGACGACGAAACGTCTGCAGACACCAAAGTAGAAAAGTTATCGTTTAAGGACGTGTGGGAGGACGTGGTGCACATGAAATCTACTAAACAGTTTTGTAAGTATTTGATGGAAAACCCAGATTTGGAAAAGCCAAAATATCTCGCCGAAGTCGGGTATTTTAACAACAATCCGAATACTAGGAAAAAAGATTGGGATCGAAAATCTTCACACGAAAATACAAAGTCGGTTTTTCCTCGTTTCTAGTATCGTTGTATTGTTTGCTGTTGAAAAACCGACGTCTACGACATATTTTCTAAATCCAGGATACCCTTCAAATACTAACAAGATTCTTTGGTACTTTTACCAGCACTTTATAGCAGATCTTCCCGTCGTACGTCCTTAAACGATAACTTTTCTACTTTGGTGTCTGCAGACATTTCGTCGTCGACGCGTTTCTCCGCTGTGGCCCAGTAGATTTCCTGTTTTAGCTTTTTGCCATGAGCCCTCTGTCTGCCTTTAGCCAACAGTTGACATTTTATCGGCGACAATTCCTTTATATCCACCTTAATGCTCTTATAGAGTGGCTTGCTATTCATATCGTTTTCGATTTTTGTAAAAGTTCTGTTTAATATTTCGAATTCGTCGACAGCATCTATGCTAATGCTTTTATAAAGTGGCTTGTTATTTGCGTCATTCATGACCATATACTAACCATATTATTAAATTCAGTGTGCACTGTGCAAGCTAAACCCGTATTTTAACCATTGTAAAAAATCAAAACATGTAATATTATGTTATGAACTGTGTATTTTATATAATAAAAAAAAATGTAATAAACATTGATTGGTAGTTATACATTTATTTTATAATTAATAAATAATAATTTTGTATGTTGTGGAACTGCTGCGGTATTATGATTTTCTGGTGACAAATTTGTCAGGAAAATGATTAAAGCCAACAACTGTATGAGCAAAAAAAAATGATAATACATGTAACCTATTAAGCTCAATATCAGGAATTCGATTTACAATATTAACTAATTATTTTAATGGTTTGATAATAGTAAGTGAAAGAAAAATCAATTTAATATCAACTCTACTCAAATGCTGTTTTACAAGAAGTAATACCAATGGTGGCTATGTAGTAAGGCTTATATATGTAATATTATAAAAGGTTTACAACAGGTATGTAAAAATGTTTTTGAATTCGTTTTTCTAAATACATTTATCCTTACCTATTTTGAAATTTAGCTTCGCCGTTGTTAATATATTTGGCATTATATTCTATAGAAATATCTATTATATATAATATGAGGAGCCGCGGGAAGATAAAGTATGAATAACTCTGATACATATATATATTATATTTATATATTTGTATACCGTAATACCGTATACGAGTACGATTTGGGTTAATTATAATATAGTATATTATATTGTCAGCTAGCCTAACCTAAGTATAAAGTTTGTTAAAATATATATAATCAGATTATTCGTTAACACGCAGCATGGATAAAAAAAAAAGGATTAAAGCGCAAACCGTAATAATCACTATTCACTGGTACTGGTACACTTCTTTAGGTACCTAAAAAAAAACCAACATACATGTGAGCTATAAGTGTTGTGTGTACGTAATACCTATTATGTCTTTATCTCTTACGCAGACTTGACGACCGTCAAAATATATGTTATTATTCCAATATCATGGTGGCTGATAGTAAAATATATTATGTCCGTTCGTCAATCGCCGGGAAACAAGACCCTATCCGCCTTTACCGTACATGTTAAACGCGCTGCGATAATATATTACTTGGGTATTGGTATAAGCAATTCGTCCTGTAAACTATAGTCAAAATGTTATTATTGTACGTTATAAATAATAATTATAATATTATGCTCGAGACTACTTGCGCCTCGCGTTGTCGGATAATAATGAACGGCGTTATGCAGAAAGCAACCAACCCTCAAAAACATAAATATTGAGCTGTGTATACTACTAGATTGGACATTTTATACTACGCATTTTACTAAATGCAACCAACCCACAATTTTTACCATTTATCTAAGTACAGAATCTAAGAAAAACAAAAACTATACATATTTTATTTATCACTATATTTAGTTGATGAATGAACAAAAATGCATAGGTACACAGAAGATTACAAAACAAATTACGTACGCTGGTTTTAAATAATCTAAGCAGTACTAATTTTATTTTATTTTTTTGGAACTTGTGTAATTAGTACACGCAATTGCTAAGACAAATTGAAGATTTATTCTAAATAAATATACTGGTAGAAGTATTTGTATACGAATTAATAGGTAGATACGCAGAACACTCGGGCGAAACGACCACATATCATAGTAGGAAAAGGCGTGGGCTCATAAATTTTGTAGGGTCCGCAATGAAAACGCTATTCGGGGTTTGCAACGAGGAGTGCGCAAAGGAATCGGTGGAGGAGATAGGAAAAATAGAAAAAACTAATGAACGTATGCTACATATACTTAAGGACCAAACAACTGTAATTAAATCTGCAATTAAAGGTATAAGTACAACGTCTGGGGAAGTCACTAGGTTATATACGGAATTGGTAAATAAACAAGGGACGATCGGAGAATTAATAAATAAAACAAATACTCTAGAAACATTAGTTTTGTCGAACAAAATACAAGGTATATTTACGTCATTATTATCACAATTTTCTTTTGAGACTATGTCTCTGGGCGCGATAATAACAGCAGCTAGGTCAGGAGTATTACACCCGAGTCGAATGACTCAGCGTGAACTGGCAGATCATTTGACGCAAATTAAATTGAAATTACCAATTAACTTAAATTTACCTATGGGTACTGACCCGAACGAGATATACGAATTAAGTAAGATTACGAAAATGGCCGTATTTTATAAAGACAACCAGATAGTTTTCTTAATAAAGATACCGCTGGTAACAGAATTGGAGCTTACGTTATATAGAATACTTCCGATACCACAGCCGGTGGAAACACGTATAAACGGGGTAATGAATAGAAATCATAGTATTATTCTTAAACCATAATTCCAATATGTAGGAATTACGAAAAATCGGGAGGAGTACACAACTTTTACGGAAACGCAACTTTTGAGTTGTAAAGAGACAGAAATATTCACAATATGTCCTGAGTTTTCACCCGTAGTGCACTCTAGTAGTAGGAATCCATGCGAGATATCGTTATTTAAAAATCCGGACGTATTACCAAAAACTTGCGAAGCAGGCGTACTGGTACTAACAAAAGATATTTTTTTCAAGTTAAAATATGCAAATTCATGGATATATACGACAAAAGGCGAAACGTTGACAATCACGTGTCGTAATATCGCCGAACCGTATATTCAGAGAATAGAAAACCAGGGTTTAATTACGATAAATTCGGACTGTAGGGCGTACGGACGTGATATAATACTAAGTCCTACACAGGACATAAGATCAAAATATTACGTAAATTTTATACCAAAAATAGGATCGGGGAATATAGTATTTACGATACCTAGCAAAATAAAAGATATAAATTTACCTAGATTGGTAATTAAGAAAGATTCGCATAATTTGGACAAAGTTCATGAAATAGCACATTCTTTAGATTTTATACAAAACGAAATAGATAACGAGATAATAAAACAAGCAGGACAAGAAAATGTAGGCAGCACTCGTAACTATTTGTTATATTTGACATTAGGATTAATATTATTTTCGATAATATTAATAATATTTATTTATATAACATATAAGTGTAGGTTAACGACGTTAAGACAACCGCATTACGAAATGATGCAAATAAGAAAATCTAGATTTAGAACAATGTGCGATAATAGAGAACCAAAAGTAAATGAAGTGGACGAACGAAACCTAGTCGAAGGGGAGGATATACCCCCCACAATAAAATAATTTATAATATAATAAATTAATATATATTATATAATAATTAACATGTTAAATAATTATTAGCAATTCTAAGATAGAATAGTAATACAGAATAGTTAGGGTTAGAATAAGGATAATAATAATGTTATTAATTATATTGAACTATATTAACAACTTTGACTGAATAGTTTATTGCTGGTCTGGAACTGTAGTAAAATAGATAAGGACAAACGATAATTAGGAACAATATGTTAGATAAGGATAAAGTTATGGGAAATATATATTATAGGAAAAAAAATTAAAAAAAAAAATTTAAAAAAAAAAAGGGAAAATTTAAGAATAAATTTTATAAGAATAATAAAAGATAAACATAATAAATAAAGGAAATATAATTATTAACATGGTGTTAGGAAAATACGTATTAATATGATATATATATTGCATGAAAAAGAATATATTGTAATAGGATTAAGAATTCATATTATATCAATAAACTAACACTAGGATAAGATTATGATTGAAAAAAAAATATATTGTTAAATATAGAGAATACTAACATAAATAATAATTAAATTTATATTGTAATAACTAATAACTTACAGTAATATTGTAAACACATATAATATCAAAAGAATATATCGTGGATTGTACTTTATATTTTTTTTGTTGATAATAATATTGTACTTTATATTTTTGATAATAATATTGTATTGTGAATTCTTGTAAACAATAATGTATCCAAATCATATAATTGTAAACAAACATATGTAAACATAAAAATGTAATAATTAATGTATGTAAAATTTTTCTGTAGGAAGGTGCTTGAAGTAACAGAAAGTTAAATTGAGTTAATTTTTCTCGTTTAGACGATAAAAATGAACTTTTAAAGGGGGAGATGTAGTAAGCGAGTTACTACGCAACAACTAAAATCCTAGCAGGTAACATATTTAGGGTAGTACATTGTAGATAGGTAACAATCAGATATGCCAAAGGGAAGTAGAAAATATCTAGCTAGCCTTGATTATGTTTAATACAATATAGTCAAAAAGCCTGTGTTAGTATAATACCCAAAGCGAAAGGGTAAGCAAAATTACATTTTATTATATTCAAATAATAAAACAACAGATTGTCATAATCATGTTCTACAATCATATAGAAAAGACGGATGTGAAATTGGCAATAGCGTTATTCAATATAAAATAGTATATTATAGAAAAAGAGTATAATAACTTAATATAATACAACGAGTAGCCAATAAATTAATTATCAGTCCATTATAGTAATACGCAGAATAAATTAGAATTTCGCAAGTACGTGGACCGGGTTGATAGTCACAAAGACCACATCCGTTAGAACCAAGATACAATATCACTAGCCACTAGGCAAGGGGAGCGGGGACCGAACTATAAGAGGGACCCCGAAACGGTCTGTATTCAGACGTGTACACTCAATACTACTGCAAGCACCTTCACGCAGCTCCGTATAACGATTGTCATTTTGAACTTAGCATCATTGTGATTGTTGGAACTAAATAAACAACAATATGCTTTTGGCATTTGTGTTACTATTATTCAACGACTACCTCAACTTCACAGTAAAAGGTCTAGCTGCCTGCAACTGTTAATATACTAGTAGCTGTCAAACTGTCAAAGCCACCAGTATATTACAATATATTAAAAATATTTAGATAATTTTAATTTGTTTGATATAATAGAAGAGCCATAACTGGTAGGTATATTATAATAAAACAACAATTTGTTTACTTAAAATTTAATTTTAATAATTTTAAAAACATTAAGA